GCCAAGGCTCTTCCGGATGTTAGTATTCCGGACCATGTCGAGACGCGTCAGGCCAGCGACTCGTCTAAGAAAGCCCATTTCAGCAGCTTGTACCTGGGTTCGAAGTATTTCATGATGGTCGACGATTCGTGACCGTAGGTAAGCATGAGGATAAAGATCGACTTAAAAACCGAGAGCTTAGTTTTCAGACTGAGCTCTGCTTTAGTCACAATGGGTTGGGCTAGACACGCAGAACGCCACTGGCTACTCTAATTCTCCTCCTACAATTTTCCATCACTAGTAAATACAATTCCGAAGTACTTCTCCACATGCTCCACTGCCTCTCCGTTAATCTGAGGAGAGCGATGGGCAGGAGAACGAGAAAGCACTAAGCTTTTCGTTTTAGATGCGTTCACACGCATGGCCACGTCGCACTCGGCTGCTAACCTTTCTAAGGAGCACTGGAGATCAGTTTCAGAAGTTGCTAATAAAACAAGGTCGTCTGCAAACAGCAACCTCCTTAACTTCACATCTCCTACACCAGTACCCTCATCGTCTTGGCAGCTCCTAACTTTGCAGATTAATATACCTTTTATACAGAAATGGCGCATCATCATTGCCGGGAACCTTTCTTATATACGATTCTTATACGATTCGCAAAAAATATTATATCTGAATTTACCTCAGCACTGATCCTTATTTACCTCAGCGCTGGTCCTTAAGATCTGTTTGTGTTGTGGAAAAGTGCAACTGTATTCATCTGTTGCTGCTATATTTCCGAAATTCGCTTTTGTTACTCTGTAGTAACCTAACTTGCAAATCATTCTCCTAGAATATCGTACTTTCCCTTCATATCCTTTGCTAGAAACAAAAAGCACAGCCATTTATAGCCCAGTGAGCTTTACAATGCCATATTTGGATTCTCAGTTGGTAAGTAATTGAAGTGCGTATCGACTTTATGAAGCTTTCAAAATTTCTGGCTTTTTTAAAGTTTGACCATCATGTTTATAGCGATGCTTGTGCAGTTTCGTATTCTTTTCCTTTTTATTCTCCCATAGTATCGAAGACTCCGGGTACCAAGAAAGCATTCCACTTAGATCAGATATATGGGGTTCACTCATTAGACGTTATGTCAGTTCTAGCTTGATTTCCCCGTCTTTTTGCGGGTTCTCCTTGCGGCCGCCTGCCTCAGGCTCTGCGTCAGTATCCTTCATTGGTAATGGCCACATCATCCAACTTATGCGCCTTGTTTGCAGTTGTCTGCCTAAAATTCCCACACACCGACCAATATTTGAACTTCAAATTTAACTATTCCCTTGCACTAAGGTCAGAGTGCTTGATTTCCTGATTGATCGAGCTCACAACCTGTATTCCAATACTGAGGCTCGAAAAGAAGTAACTGATGTTGAGTACGCACTGGAACGAAACGGTTACCAACAAAAACGCATCCGCAAGACATCGAAGTGTAGAACTGGACAGTAACTTAAAACTGAAGCAAGAACCCTCGTTCTCCACCTGCATACCTTACCTTCCGCATCTGTCAGAGTCTATCAGGCGGATTATGAACTCAGCGTACATCTGCGTTGCCTTTATGTCTAAGGGGAATCTATAATCACTGCTGGAGATGGTAAAAAATCAGAGTTCTCTCGAAGATGTGTGTACCAGATTCACTGCCTGACTTTGAACCTAAGGTACATTGGCCATACATCACTGCCACTGCGGATCAGAATGCTTGCTGAACACTAGCACACCCCAGTAGACATTTGCGGTTGCGGACCAAGAAGCATGGCGAAAGTTGGAGATAACTTCTTGATCTGCTGATCATATTACGACTGGACAGCACATCGACTGCCGGGGACAAGACCCGTTGTGGTGAATCGAACATCTTCTAAAGAATCTTTTTAGAAGCCTTTCTGATTCAGATCAAATGTTATGAATCTGAAATTGGGGCTAGAAATGTCAGAAACATCGATTAGCCCACATAAGGGACTTGCAGGGTCAGAGCGATATTAGATGCTGCGCAAAGATCACGTTCTTCGTCACAAGCAAGTCCTCCTCCAAATTTCAGGGTGCGATGTTGGCCTCGGACGCATCTGCGGTCATATTTTGCTTCCCAGAGAAGAATGGCTTTGGTTTGGTGTCCGTTCTCTCGTCAGATGGTTCTTCAAACCACGACAGACGCTGGTTCTTCATTTGTTCAGACGACATTCTCAGGCCGGTCATCTGCAAGATCTCCCAGATGCAAGCAACCAGCGTCACCTTAATCATTCTGAGAATTTAAAGCATCAGACATGATTAATCTGGACCTTTGACTTGGTCTTTGATCCTGATGCCTCAGATGACAATGACAGCAATAAGGTCAAGGCAGTTGCTATCTGATGTAGGGAAACAGACGTTCATTTTGTTGCTACCTGTCGAAGATGACATGTACAAGGCGACAGCTGACAAAGACCAAACATGTTGACCAGAACTAATACTTGTATGATATCGGACAGCTTTACTTATAAAGGTAAAAGAATATCGGCGAGTTTAATTACTTGACTGGTGAAGGTTGGCAACTCCGGTCGAAACTTGGTGCCATCAAAACAGCTATTTCTAAATATTTCAAGTGAAAAAAATATTACTTATGTTGCTAAGGTAGTCAGCGTTAAGTACACGAAACCCAAATCTTGCTATGAAAGCAAAAGCAACGTTATTACAAACATTTCTGCCACCCTCAATCTTGTGAACTCTTCAGTCGCTTTCTGGTAAATAGAAGATTAAGGCATATGTACATCTCAGAGACAGCAGGAATAAATGTACCTCCGTTGAATACTGAGATCGAAAAGCCACCAGCAGGCAGTTGGGTTGTTGTCGTGGTGGCACAGTGAGTCAAAGAAGGTTCAGCTTCGAACTACGAAATTTGCTGTGTTCGATTCCGGCGAACGGATTCTTTGACTTAACCACGAATTCCCTTTACCAACGAATTTACCACACGTTCGGTCTGTAGGGCTTTGAACTCAGAACCGATAG